ATAAACCACATTTACTTACCCCATATGAAATATACACGGTCTCCACGCGGTTGCTTTTAACCAATCATATTCCTAGAAATGTATAAGAGGTAAGATAAATTGCATAATATGATTGAGCACGTTGTTATCAGCCACTGGAGGTGGGGCCAACTATTGGACGGATATGGTCCAGAATGAGCTGGAGGGGGACCAGGAAAAGTGGGCGGCTACGGATACTGATGCAGTGTACTGGTTTGCATATTGTAGACATGTCTTTTCGGATGACAAGCCCTCGTGAATAGAATGAACACCGGTGTTGTTTTTTTTATGTTTTTTTATTCCTTTTAATAAGGTTGTTGTGATGGTGAACCAAATGACGAGTCTGTATTATTTGACAAATCTGTCAATTTACGCTTTGCATTTGACTTGTTTCTGGTCATGTTGATAGGTAAACAAAGATTGGACAGATTGGTAAGAATCAATTCAATAAAAATACTGCTAACAATGTTGACATTGGTATAATGTAAACAATCGATTGCTGACTTCCAGGTTTGGGAGTACTCGCATGTTCGAAATGCGTGATCGATAACAAACTAACCTCTGCTAGGTAAACGAGAAATAACGATGGTTTTTATAAAGTTTTTCAATATACAGTATCTTCCTAACAGAATGAAGATCTTCTATGAGTTTCGTCGTGTAAATATCATTACAAACAACAACAAACTGGTATTTTTTTGTCTCATCACAAATTAAAACTACACACGACCTTCACTTTTCTTGTCACATGACCGTTCAATATCATATTATTATCATTACACCAATTCATAACATTACAAAAATCTACATTCATAAATGCATTTAAATCTGTTACTGATGGAGATGACTTATATAATGTTGCATCCAGTGGCGGATTCAGAAATTTTCATAAGAGGTTGCCCACTGACTGCCTAAGAGGGGGCCCGCTTCATTCATGCTTCAGTGATTCCCTATATAATCAACCAAATTTTTTTCTCAAAAGGGGGGGGGCGGGCCCCCTGAAAAACCCTCTAAATCCACCCCTGGCATCATCAGCACAAAGTTAAGAAGAGACATTTTCAAACACAAGAGATAAATCATTGATAAATATTATAAAAAGTAAAGGTTCTAGTATGGAACCCTGTGGAATTCCTGATTGAACTTCTCTAAAATAAAATTCAATATCATTGATCATTACCTTTTGAAATCTTCCTGATAAATAAGATTTAAACCAATCAAAAACATGATCATCACAGTGATACAATTGTAATTTGCTCAGTAAAATATGATGATTAACAATATCAAATGCTTTTCTAAAGTCTAGAAAAAGAGCACAAGTTAAATTCCCTTTATCCATTTCGCTTAGCCATGCATCAATCAATTTAAGGAGGGCAGTGTTACATGAATGTCTAGATCTAAAGCCCGATTGCTGCCTTCAAAGAAGATTTAACTTTACGAAATATGCATGTAATTGATTAAATACCAATTTTTCAAAATTTTGCATGGTTAGGAGTATAGATATTGGTATCTAATTGTTCACATCAGTTGCATCACCACCCTTGCGGAGAGATATAACCCTAGTTTCCTTCAGCATACCAAGAAAAATACCTGTACAGAGACTTAAGTTAATAATATGTGCAAGTTACTCTTATACAATTGGTGAGAATAGTTTAAGGATACGTGGTCCAACTTCACCAAGCACTGTTGACTTTTTTACATCGAGTTTAACAAGTTCATTGAATACTTGAGATATTGAAACAGAATAGAGGGAAAAGGAGACATTTTCGCTTATTCTACTCTTTAAAAACGATGCTAAACAATCTGAAGAGAAAGTGGTTTGGAAATAAGGCACTAATTTATGACCTATAGAACTAAAGTGATCATTAAGATGTTGAACAATATCTGTCAAATAATTAAGTTCCATTATATATAATATTAACAGTTGATCAACTTAGGGGATGACCATTTTATATTCAAAGGGGGGGGGGGGGGGGACGGACAAATATATATTTGTCTGCAGCTTTGCCACACATAAGTTTCTCACAAATTATATATTGCATCACAATTTAAAAATGTTGATGTCATAATCAAAAGTGATTGTTGCATAACGTCAGAAAGTTATTCGGAGACAGAATTCACCTAAGCGTGTAAATACGTCTATTATCTTTCCATAAGCAGGGATAAATCCAGAGGTGAGCTGCCCCCTCCCCCCATTATTCAGGGGCCCAACCATTTCTATAATAATATTTAAATAAACATCTGGGTTTATGAATATTGCCCTTTCCCAGTGGGAAATCCTAGGAAAATCCAGGTTCTACTGGGTAATATAAAATACTGGCATGAATCTTTTAGATGTTTCAGTGATCAAATGCCAGATATAAAAGATATCAATCAGATTTAATGTATATTTTAATTTATGATTTAACTTTTTTGAGACTCTTGTTATAAAGTGTATAAATTTAAAAAGTATTGGCCCAGGGGAAGCAAGACAATTGCCCTACACCCAAATTGCCACAGACTAACTTGTTCCACTTTCTAACAACTCGCCTCACTCTTGTTAACCAACTGGCATAACTAATAAAAGGAGTTCAATCCCACTGAATTTAGGCTTGCCAACTCGCCCAACTAATGTAAAGGAGTTTTAATCGCTCTGTCAAGAGCGACATGTACTTAGTCACCCCATTATTGAAATGAAGTCATATCCCACTTAATCAAGCTCTGCCGATTCCCCCATTAATTGAAAGGAAATTTATCCCGCTGTAATAAACGCATGCAAAATCACCCAATGGATTTAAGGGAGATTTAAATCTCGCCAGTTGGCAAGCCTGAATTCAGAGTGACTTAACTCCTTTATTTAGTAGGGCGAGTTGATAGGCCTAAATTCAGTGGGATTTTAGGCCTTTTCATTTGTGGGGCAAGATGGCAGACTTAATTTGATGGAATTTAACTCCTTTTCGTTATTGGAATGAGTTGGTAGAACGTTTGCGCAAGTTGGTCACGGGTGAGTTGCCATGGATTTGGTCCAGGAAATAAAGTCATGTTTACATGGTTTCCTCAGTGCTGACGGTTGTACAGTGACCTTTAGTTGCTTACATCCACCTCATCTAGACTGTGATGGAAAGTTGTCTCATTGGCAATCAGTTTACATCACTTTATATTTTAACGACACACAGACAAATGTGAAAAGTTTTGTCAATTAGTTTTATAGATGATCTGATTTCTTAAAATTCAATTCTGTCAACTATAGATCAACGTACGACCTTCAGTAATGAGCAAAACCCATACCACTTAGCAAGCTAAATAAAAAATTCAGACGAAAATACTAACGGCCTAATTTGTGTAAAAACAAATATGATCTACAGCAACAAACGACAACCACTGATTTACACATATTGTTATAAAGCATCAACAACATGTTTAGTTTCAAAACGAAATGATGGAAAACAGAATAAACAAAACTAACAAAGACTCCTATCTCTCCTTCAAGAAAACCAAAAATGTCTACTCTAGATTTTTGATAATTTTACTACAAATGCAATTCGTACAAAATATAAAATACTTATTCAGAAAACATATTTCGATTTATTTAAAAATATCATTTTAACAATAACCCTCAGGACTATTTATGAAGACCAATTAATCTAGTTAGCTATTAAGTACATAACAACAATTCATTAAATTAGGCGACAAAAATAGATCAAAAAAGGGAATAAAGGAGATAGTAAAAAAATAGGGTGGCGCAAGTAAGTTATAACATACTTTGACTTTTTCCCCATATTTTGATTGTCTTAAGCTGAATCACTTTTAAATAAAAAGAATGACTGACTGACTGGTCATACAAATAGGTTTTTTAACAAACTTATGTTAGTGAGTCGCTCATGAAATGATAGAATGACATTGCAAGTACCATAATAGTACTAGTATACGATTGTTTTGGATATCAGATATGTCCGCCTCGGTGGTCTAAGGGTAGCGTGCTTGCTTTAACTGCGTTTGGTCATGGATTCGATCCTCGACCGGTCAACAAAATGGTTGTATATATGTATTTGTTGCTAACCTACTACATGTAAGCACGTGGCATTTAGAAATCAGACTCAGGAGTCAAAATAAATGTCTTAATAGGATGTCTTCCTACACTTCAGACTTGATCGGCAAACCTCGGCAGATTCCGCTAATCTACATCTTATGTTAAATTGTTATATCAGCAGAGGTGTGCCGAATGCTTAGATACTGATAAACATTGAATAGACGCTTAAAATCTGGCTCAGGAAGGTTAATATTTATATTTCAGCAACATTTTCTCTTCCAGATATGCATGCAATATTTCCCATGTGAGGTTAAACACAAATCCATAAATCGCCCCATAATTTAATAATATAACACGATTTAGAGCTTGATATATTGACGATTAAGATTTATTTTATCGACACCGGTCTATTTATAACCTTTCTAGACGTTTTTTGGTCATTTATGCCCTTTAGGCTGCTGCTTAATTCACGTGTCCCTAACATGATTTTATCCATTTATTTACCCTTCCAATGTGTTCTCCAATCCGAAAAGGTTGCCTTTTAATACTTCGCTTCATCTTTAAAATTAAAGGATTTAGATTACAGATATGAAAGGACTTATTAATTTAGTAAGGGAACGACAATTTGACATTCTAGTCGGAGGAAATAATCGTGTACAAAATTGAACATTTAAATAAGTCGGACTAGCGCCGGTAAAAATGAATATTCCATCCGCAAAAAGTCCTCATGAACATTTTTTTATCGTCCCGTAATAAAACAAGGCGTTTATTTTCCTTAAACGTAATTGCGATGGGATATTAGTCTGTGGGTTTTGAAATAGCCAAACAGTATCCGGAAGGGTAATCATTTCTTGCTCCTTAAGTCACATGAAAAGTCGGAAGTGACGTAAAATGTACGGGATTAGGACAAATAATATTTTCAGAATGGCTTGTCTTAAAATACATAAATATACTTTCTTTATTTTGTTGAAAAAGTAATTCATTTTCCTACGAAGAATTCGCCATGATGTATTGGCTTCTTTTCGTCGGTGATTCGGAAATTTTTGAAATAAGCATATGTGTCCCCATGTTTACTATAATCTATTGAACTCCCGCCATAGAAGGTAGAGAAAAACATCCCATCGATATGAATACTGCTTGACTGACGGAGAACAAGGTTCATATTAACCACCATTAAATCATTAACCCAGAGTGTTACACGGCCATGTTGATTGGGATGTCCTAGGTTCACTTCTTGTCGAATTCTATACCACTGGCCTGGTATGAATTTAAATTTATCGGTTGATGTCTTTCCGATTTCTACTCCGCATTTTCTTGCTGGGCATATAACTTTTTTATGGTCGTGTTCATAACGATCACACCAGTGTTGAAAGCCGCCGTCCTGATTGTACGGAATATATGCATAGACTTCATAATGTCCATCAGCTCGCCACATCAGTCTGGTTGAGAAACAATCGCGTGCCTCGCCAGAACAGCCCTTGCATGATTCTCTAGAGCCACCCCATAGTCCGGGTAATTTCCCACCAATTGCAAAATCAAATCCACTCTTGAAAAACACCTAAAACATAGAACAATACACTTAAAATCATGTAATGAAAAAGAGGCTAGACAAACAACTACAAGACTTTTATCATACTGTAAACCAACTAGTTTCGCGACCGATTTATTCATGCGACTTTCGATAGTATAAAAATAAAGCGAACATAAATCATCTAGAGTATTTAAAACTTGTATCTTCCCTTATATAAAAACATTAAAATTAGAAAAATCGCGTTAAATCGCCGCAAATTTGGCTAGAAAGTGCTAAACGCGAAATAAAGTATCCGCGAAAATAGTTGTTTTCCAGTACCTTTATAACCAATGTTGGATTTTTGATGTCTTTTATATCATGACCAGTTAAGATGTCATTATTCTTCATAATTGAAATTTCACGTTTAGAAATATATTTTCCTTTCATGTAGTTATTACTGAAGTTTGCAAAAAGGTTACATGTAACACGTTCTGTATACATGTATGCATATACTGTAAAATTTATCGGATTTAAATAATTATTGCAAGCAATAGTTAGAATCATGTTGAAAAATTCGGAAGTCTTGCAATAGTTTCATTTTGTGGCAAGCTTTTCTGTCTCTCGTACATACTGTTAATTGAATTGCTTTATGTATAAATTTGCTTAAAGATAACTGCAATTAAGTGTATTTATAAGCGATATCATACAAAGGAAATAACTAAGTTATTGTAAGAAGTGCTTAAGGAGAAAGAAGATGGATTTTTGCATCAGTAAAGCGTTTGTAGTAGTCAGTTTCGTCAATGTTTTTATAAGCACTCGTGTGAAACAGAATAAAATGTTATGATTTACTTCGAAGCTTATCTATTATGAAAATGACCAACATTAAAACATACCAAAGAGTGTGAACAGTAGCGGATCCAGGGGCGTAGAGGGCATACGATTTATATGATTTTTTAGCATAAAATCGTTCAAAAAACTTCTCTCCTCGCTTTACTCGGCAGTATATAATCAGTTTTATGGAATTACGCCCCCTTTCAAATATCCTGGATCATCCCCTGGTTAAGAGTTATATCCCTGAGACAAGGTATATACACTTAAATAAACAGTCTTACGAAATACAGAAGTAATCGCCAATTAAAAAGAGGCACACAAGAAACTTGACAGCACCATTGGAAAAAAGTACACAACAAAAATATAAACACTAGTTTACAAAACACTAGATATAAAACTAGAGAGTGAGCAAAGTTCTCGCCAAAACTGGGGTTGGTCTAAAGTGATCCGGAAGGGTAAGCAGCATCTTCTCCACATTAAGCACCCGTCGTGTTGTTTATGGCAAGTACATACTAACTTTTGCAACTTTTAAGTGAAAGAAAGAAACGTTTGCAGATAAAAAGGGTAATCATTTGTGTTTGTTATTAGTTTAACAAAGAATATCATTTTACTAATATTAAATAGTTTTTTTTCAATTTATAACACAACTCGATTTTAGATTGCTCACTTTTTTTTTACTAAAACTTCTATGCATATCTGTACGAGATCCTTGCCGATGATTAATAAATGCGTAAAGAGTGAATTAGTAATTGTTTAAGCTAATGCCAACATCCTTTAATTCATAGAGTTAAAAGACTTTAATGTTTGGTTATTGGTGAAATTTAACCGTAAGTTAAAGGATAAACATAGTATCCTTTTCATAATAGTGTGGTTGAGACCAATTTTTAGCGCGCTCAAGTCTCCCATTGACTGGCTCAAATTAGATGAACGTTCGTTTGTAACGCCCACTTGTCACGTCATATTTGTTATAGACATTTAGATCTCATAAACATGTTTAACCCCGCCGCATTTTTGCGTCTGTCCCAAGTCAGGAGCCTCTAGCCTTTGTTAGTCTTGTATTATTTTTAATTTTAGTTTCTTGTGTACAATTTGGAGTTTAGTATGGCGTTCATTATCACTGAACTAGTATATATATTTGTTTAGGGGCCAGCTGAAGGACGCCTCCGGGTGCGGGAATTTCTCGCTGCATTGAAGACCTGTTGGTGGCCTTCTGCTGTTGTCTGTTCTGTGGTCGGGTTGTTGTCTCTTTGACACATTCCCCATTTCCATTCTCAATTTTATTTAAACTGTGAGGTCACCAAAGGTTCGCAACACTTAAATCAAATAATTCGTAAAACTAGTACGGGATTAACCTTTGTGTTTTGATTAATATTGAATACTTAAACGTTCTTTCCTAGCGTTTTTGTTATGTTTTGATAAACAATTTTTATAACATCGCACGTTCTTTAAACATAAAAATTAATCTAACTAGCTTTAAAAGTTACAATGTATGTGTTGGCTATTATCTTTTTCGGACTTCAAAGCGATTAACCCATTGCGGTTGTCTAATTTTTTCACTTAGTATCTTTTAACTTTTTTCTTGTGTAAAATTTCATTTTAGAACGAATGCATGATCAACTTTCAATAGTTGTGCAATTACAAAACATAGACAAAATATACTTTCGTACGGTCTTTTTCATACTTGCAAGACATTGGACAGTAAAAAGCTATTTGGACCAAGCCTTATGAAATTTGCAATTTACTTCACGAAATACTAGTGGGTAAAAGGTATAGTTTGGTGTATTTTGGAAACTGAAACTTTTCTGCTGACTACTATAGGCCCTACTTGTGAAAAACCCTTGGTAGATACAGACTATTCTTCCATTTCTGAGTGTGCGTGTGTTTTTTTTTTTTTTATTATTTTTGTGAGGGGGGATTGTTTTTTTTCTCATGCACATATATGAACATAACTTTTTTAATCTTAGTGTCGTAATTTTTTTCGTCCCTAACTTTGAATGTAAATCAATTAGTTGTTTTTTTCCTTTTTTTTCTGAAACACAGTATTTTTTGTCCTTTCCAATTTTTTTCAAGAATCAATTCATTTGAAAAAAAACGGCCATACTTACACACACACAATAATTGACGGCAGTTTATATATCAACTTCGTCCTCTTTAAGATCGCAATGAAAATGTGCATTCAATATATGTATCATGCAGGAAATTAATTTTTGAAATGTGGTCAAAATTTTCTCGAAGCGGAAAAAAAGCAACAGCTTAATATGGATTGAAATTGAAATAACTGTTATAATTTACACAACGTTACTTTTTCCAATATAAACATTAAAAAATTATTATTATTATTTTTTTTTTTTATTTACATTTTTTTCAAAGACCACATTGTGACTTCGAGATTGAGTACAACCTTTTCTTTCTTCTACTGTTAGTTTAACTCAGTTATTTAGTGTCATGAACTGGTCTGATGTCATCTCGTATGTTTTTAAATATGAAGAAAAGGGGATCCGGTTGTATGTCAATGAGACACAACCAAACGACAAAAAATTGAATAAACAGCTGCGCCATGACCGCATGATACGCCCGTCGCTTTTTTATAGAATAAAGTTCAATAAATTCTCAATGTCATTTCAGAAATTTATGAAAAACTAAAGGAAGGTTAGCTTAACAGATATAAACCAGTCAACAAAGTTTCATGAAAACTGCTCAAAACACTTTAAAGATATTGTCCGAAAACTGGAAAATCACCCCCTTTTTATGAATAAAATCGGAAACGTAAAATCTAAAATTTATAAAAATCGAAAGGGAGCTTATGTCAATAGATATAAACAATTCACCAAACTTTCATGAAAACTGCTAAAAGCATTTTTGAGTTGTTGTCCGAAAACTGGAAAAAACTTTTTTAATTAATAAAACCCAATAACTCAGAAACATAAAATCTAAAATTAACAAAAATCGAAAGGGAGCTCATGTCAATAGATATAAACAATTCACCAAAGTTTCTTGCAAATTGGTGAAAGTGTTTTTTTAGTTATTATCCGAAAACTGGAAAATCCCCATTTTTTAATGAATAAAACCCCATAACTCGGAAACTTAAAATCTAAAATTTATAAAAAAAGAAAGGGAGCTCACATCGATAGATATAAACAATTCACCTATGTATCATGCAGATTGGTTAAAGCGTTTTTGAGTTATTGTCCGACATGTTGACGACGGACGGACAGACAGACGGATGGACGGACGGACGGACTGACAGACGGACGGACGGAAGGACGGACAGACGGACAACGGAATACAATAATACGTCCAGTAAACGGGCGTATAAAAACGGTCAACATTCATTCTTCAACAATAAAATGCGTTACAAGAAAATAAGTTTTGTAAGTAAAAGACACAAATTCGTGAGATACAAGAATGATATATCGACGAGTACTGCAATTTAGTTTATGACTAACTATCTTTGGTCAAAGAGACAAACAGGATCACACACACGCGTTACACTTTCCCCTTTACATAAAAGCAGTATTCAAACAGAAAAATCTTTTAATTAATTAGATAAGCATATAGATAAATACATAAATAGAGGCAATTGAGTTGTGTAGTACTGGAATATCCAAGGTAAACTTATCAAATGAGTTCTCTGTATGACTGAATGATCCAAACGATGATCCATGTGAAAAATATCCAGTTAAAAAAACTATTTTATTTTTTTTCATTGTCCGGAACTCTTTTCACAAACAAGTCCTATGCATTGAATAAATGGTAGGTTACTCTTAAATGATCACAACGTGGAAGTATTTTTTCTCATAAGACATTTTGCGATTTAACCCTATCGACTTGAAGTTTTTACAATGAAAATCCAAATGTGTAAATGTATTTTTCGATTATTTAATGATATTTGCTCTGAACATTTAGTATTCTCTAAAACGAAACTGTTGTGTGTGCTGATATAAAAAATATTTCAAACAAATTCCTTTAAAGTTTTGTGAAAAGAGTTTCATTTTATGTATCGAAATGTGTAACAAGTGTTTATTTAATTCCCCACTGGAGGGCCTCTGAAAGACTGAGTGAGCGTAAGCTCATTGTTATCGATAGCCGATGACAAACAAGTTTAGGGGTAAATGATTCAGTATTTTTAACAACAAAAGTACTACAGTTGTCCACACTGTTGAGGGAATACCTCTAAATATATATACAATATACATTGTATATTTTAATAAAACGCATTTGACTAACAGGTCGAACAACAAATGTTCTTAAACCCTGCTGACTGCCATTGGCGATTGCCAAATAAACGGATCACCGATGTAATAAATGGATATTAATCATAAATTTTATACTAAACAGAAAACAATAAACTTGCGGAAAAGATGGTATACCGCCAACAAAAGGTGCAAAGGTTTTTGAACACCATATCTGGATTTCGACAATTAATATCTCTTCAGTGATGTTAGGAATCGTAACGGTATTTGGAAAGCCATACAATTTACCTCAATTTAGGATAGACTCTTGAATTTTAAGGAGTCAAAATAGGATGAACGGATTATATAAACCCGAAGGCAAATATAATACAAGCCCAAACGAAAATTTTTTTTTCAATTTAGACTTGTTTACAATCTACATTG